CAGAGGAGGATAATACATAATCTTGAAATTCTATTTCGATTCAAGTGCATCATAACATTCTAACAAGTTATTTATTTTGACTATAAAAACATTCATCTTATTTCCCATCTGACTGTAATTGATCGATAACACTCATATTATTATTTCTGAATGTACATTATCGCATATTGATTTTTATGCCAAAATCTAATCGATTCCACGCATATATATAAATGAAGGAATAAGTTGTGTGAGTAACTTGATATGATTATGAGCAATAGTTTGTGCTCGAAACGTCATCAGTTAATATGACTGTATAACACTGTGTGATTTATCAAAATAAAATCCTATCCATAATGGAGATATACTCTACCATAGTGCCCAAGTTTTATACTTATATCAAGTGATATATTAATGTTTGAAATGTACATGTAGTTATATTTGGACAGCTATTTCGGTTGACATATAACACTGAGGCAGTCAGTCTCATCACTAGAGACCCGACTGAAAGCTGCTACCTTGACGTGGTGGTCGGGCATAAACACCGCAATGACCCAACAAGCTATACTGGCTGAGACTTATGTCACTTGAGGTCCTACCATGCCGGAAAGGTTGTTTGGATAGATGTTAGACAAAAAGCAGCTACCCAATCCAATACTATTATTCAAACGAATTCACAAAATATCATGCCGGATCGGTCGGGACCCGGATTAACAACGACCGCGCTTCCTGCTGCCGTGTCACAGGGTAGAAGTGATAAATATGCTACTGAGACACACCAAACAAACAAAAACAGGCCGCGTGTGACCGGCTTCAAGCAGTTGTCCCCTGGTCTCTGCGGTCATGCAACACTTTCTGTTTCAGGTTCCCGAAGAATCAATCAACTTCCACGGTGTGGGCAGCCGGGAAGTAACAACCGCCCACACACTTCCAAAAGCACACGAAGCCTTCCTAAGCATCACTCTTCCTTACTCACATCACCTTCCTCATCTTGCTTCTCTACTACAGTTAGCACTATTCTGCAGGCTAGTGAGTCATCTTCACTTCACTCTTTGACCACGAACAACGGCGAGAGCCAAAGAAACACCCCCAGACAGCCTTTTAAAGCCACGTCAGCAACTTCAAATAGGAGCTTTTAGTGTCAGGACCGTCTCCCAAATCAGACAACAGGCATCACTACCAAGTGCTCCAGAATCTAGAGCCATGGATTTATGTTATATTTCGGAGACACGCATACAAGACCCTAGTGTGGTCATTCCCAGTCAACAAGGTGTTTCTGCGAAATTCACTTTAAGTATGTCAGGAGACCCCTCAGCTAGCTCGCGAGGACTCGCAGGTGTAGGGATAGCATTGAGTGTTAGGGCAGAAAAATCACTTCTTGACTTGATTCCAGTAGATAGTCGTATGTGTGCGGTCCGCCTGAATAGGTCTGTTAAACGAAGGAAAGACGGTGCTGCCCGTCGTTGCCTTTTCGTAGTCTCCGCTTACGCCCCAACAGACTGCAGTTCGGATGAACTAAAGGATAACTTCTGCCTGAAACTGTCTAATTTGCTGCAAAAAGCAAAAGGTTCAGATATAGTTGTTTTAGCAGGCGATTTCAATGTCCAAGCAGGGAAGTTGTGCCAGACTGAGAAGTATCTAGGTGATACGTATGGAGTTCCCTGCCGACGAACCGACAACGGTGATCGTTTCTACAGTTTTTCCTAGATAACTATCTGTTCCTAGTTAGCACTAACTTTAGGCACAAAGAGAAACATTGTGTAACCTGGCGACCTCCATCACCAAATCAACGCTGGACTCAGATAGATCACATAGCCATAGGGTATCGTTGGCGAGGGTCAGTGGAACACTGCCGCTCTTATTTGAACACGTAGACTCTGATCACGCTCTGGTTCGCGCACGTTTATGCTTACGACTAAATAGACATAAGAAATTGACGGCAGCGAAACAGTGACGTCCCCAACTAGATTGAGACACTGACTCCCTATTTAAGGAAGAAATAGCGAAACGAGTATCTGAGGTCGACAGCACGACTTCCCCTGAGGTAGCCTGGCACAACATACAATTAGCTTTAGATACGGCTGTGAAAGCTGTTAATAAGCTAAAACCTAAAGTTAGTAAAAGCCATTGGATCTCTACCGCCTCATCCGAACTGATTGACGCAAGAAGACCGATTCCAGCGAGCTCCGATTATAATGAGGAGCGAAAGTTACTTAAACGAAAACTAACAAGAAGTCTTCACAACGACCGTGAACAGTGGTGGGCGACAAAAGCGAAAGAGATGGAAAAGGCAACACCAGACAACTATTTAGGCTTATCAAGGAAACAGCTGGGATATGGCAAATCATAAGTGAAACAATCTCTGAGAAGAATGGCACCATAATTAGCTCTCAGTATAGACTGGAACGCTGGAGGGAGCACAATGAGTAGCAGTTTAATTGGCCCACAGCCACGCTCAACCTGCCGAACATCCAACACCTCCCTGAATGGGATATAGACACAGGTCCTCCATCCATAACTGAGGTTACTAAAGCTGTCACTAATCAGAAACAAGGCGAAGCAGCGGGACCTGATGGAATGACTCCAGAGGTGTCTAAGGATGGTGGAGACAATTTACTGTCTGCATCAACTAAGGTACAAAGGCAACGTCTGGGAATCAGGAGAAGTCCCGTCGGGTTGGTGTCACTGATTATCCCCAAATACAAGAAGCGAGACAAGTCTTCCTGTGATAATCACAGGCTGATTAGCTTGACTAATATGGTACCTGAAGTTCTAGGCTCAATAATCATGCGTAGACTAAGCGGTCGACGGGAGGAACAAACGCGAGAGAACCAGACAGGCTTTAGACCAGGAAGAGGGTGTATCGACCATATCTTTACCCTTCGACACATTCTGGAATATAGGCATACTTACCGGCGTCCAACAAACGTCATATTTCTTGACCTAAAGGCGGCATTCGATCCTGTCGACCACGACGTACTATGGCGATGTTTGGCTGTGAGAGGAATGCCGAGTAAATACATTACACTGATCAAGGCTCTCTACTCGAACTCATCTAGCCAGCCAGGTGAGACCCCACCAGGAGTTGTCATCTGAAGCGGTGACAACTAGTGGTGTCCGTCAGGGATGCCCACTATCCCCATTTCTTTTCAATTTCATCACAGATGTACTAATGGAATTAGCCTTAATTAGCCTCTTAACTTCAGCGACTCAGCGATTGACTTGTTACCAGGGAATAATCTCGTTGACTTAGAATATCCAGATGATACAGTGGTTCTAGATGAGGACGCTGACAAAAAAGAGCAGTTTCCTCAACACCTTGAACTGCAGTCTACGAATGTTTGGCATGCGATTCGCTCCCGCCAAATGCAAGATGATGTTACAGGACTGAACTACACCGACTGCTAGATTAGAAATAGGAAGTGAAGTGGTAGAGTACGTTGACCGCTTCACTTACTTGAGAAGTACCATCAGCCAACGCCAATGGGTTGATCTCTGACGAAATCTCAGCCAGTTTACGCCGTCTCTGGCGTAGATGAGATATCCGGTTATCGACCAAAGGGCGGGTGTACTGCTCATCAGTCCGCTCCGTCCTCCTCTATGGCTGTGAGACCTGGCCATTGAGAGTGGAAGGCATGAAAGGGCTAGCTGTCTTCGATCATAGGTGTCTGCGCTCTATCTCCCGTGTAAAGTGGCATAATAAGGTGAGCAATACTGAGGTTAGGCGTCAAGTTCTGTGTAAGGAGGGGAAATCAATCGACAAGGCTGTGAAGTTACATCGACTGAGATGGTTAGGACATGTGTTACGTATGCCTGGTCATCGCCTTCCTCGACGGGCAATGTTAGCTGACACAGGATGGATCATTTCGGAAGAGCTAGCGGAGGTCAAACAAAAACTGGGCACCAGTCAATGAAATCCACAACAGTTGGTCTAAGCCACGTTGGAAGGTGTAGACTTCCAGGCTGGGGTCCTCGGGACGGTAAAAATCTATGGTTGGAAACAATTGGTGAGATGACTCAAAATCGTTCTCAGTGGCGCAGATGCATCCACTCCCTGTGACTTATGATTTCCAATGAATCTGTTTTGTTCTTCGTAATTACTATTCCTTTGTCTCACACCTCTGTTTATTGTCTCTATTATGCCTTTCTTGTACTTTCTTTTACTTTGTGTACTACATGGAGTGTGGCGACTTGAACTGCCGAAAATATGTGCAAAGTTCTATGTCGAAAACAGACCAGAGAATCTTGAAGCATACAGTATTCGAAGTACACTATTGATAACTGATGAAGGTTGCAACGCCACCACTACATTTCTTTTCAAAGCTACGTCGATCTTGTCTGAATAATTGAACAAAACTTTTTTCTCTTTGGATGTGGTGTCATTATTTATCAATATTCCCGTAGTGAAAACAGTCAGCTATATACGTGAACAAATTGTGATATTGGAAATACATATTAGGACTACACCTGCGAAACTGAAAAAGTAATTAGTAAAGTGTGCTTCGAATGTTCCTACTTAGCAAAGGAGTTTTACTGACAACTTGATGAGGTTCTTATGGATTCTCTCTTTGGTCTTTTATTAGGCGATATTTTCTTGACAAAATTAGGAAATGGGTTTTTTTAAGAGATGTTAAACAAATTTGAATATTATTGTCGTTAAGAAGACCAAATGTTTGTCGTGTGTGATAAGAATTTGGCTAAACAAGATATACAAATCTTCAACGACATTCATCCAGCTATGAAATTCACTTGCAAAGAAGCATATCGGGGAAGCATTTGTTTTTTGTATGTTCATACTAAAATGATGGACGATAAAGAGAAATATCTACAGGAAAGGGAAGTGGAACGGATAGTGCATCTATTTCCACAGTTCCATACCCACTCAGTGTAAGCGGAATTTCATTCATTACCTTAGTCATAGCATTTGATGCACATGTAAAGATGAAGATGAAATAGGAAATCTGCAAAATATCCTACTACAAAATAATTCTACTGTCTGTGCGTCGGTGGTTCAATTGTAGAACACTGGTCAACCACGCAGCTGGTTCTACTCCCTGCGAGCGTACTCCTTTCCCACACCTGGCCGGTTAAGAGGGATGGTTGGGCATGACACTAGCATCCCTGTACCGTAAAAACCACACCACCGCTAGTAAAACTTCAAAGCTCTGTTTTGAAGTCCTATGTTGCACCAGGTATGTTCTTGTTACGGTTTTTGTAATGGTTATTCCAGTGTCTTCACTGTAGAACACGGGTGATTTATTGTTGTTGTTTTTACAAATAGTTAACAACGATTTCCAAATCAGTTATTGTGATTGTTGGTCCCTTTTTCCAGTCATTTGTTATCTCTGATTCCTTCCATGTCTATACTGATTTCCGTTTTCTTCTCTTCAGCTAGTAAAGCATTATATCTCCAGGTTTTGTTCCATCTATGTGGATAAGTACGAAGATATTGCACCTCAACTTTGGACTGTTATTGGCGAAGAAATCGTACCTGATCAGTGTCGCATATATAGGCAAGCTTTTGTCGTATTTAAGTTAATATCTATATTTAAATCTTTGAACTTTATTTAAAGCACCAATTTGGTGGTGCTTAATTTCTAAGAAATGTAAAGTTCAAAATACATAACATTACAAAAAAGACAATAAAAACGAAGAAGGGGAAAATGACAGAGAAATTTGAATCTATGTTTACTACTTTTCCTTCGCACATGGTAGTGTGTGGATTTGGTGAATTATTTGATTTGTTGGAGCCCAGTTAAGGAGTTGTGTTATTAGGACAGATGCTCACCTGGTGCAACTATTTTTCTTATTGTAGCTGTAGGCTACAAACGTATTATTTGATTGTTTCATATAATTATCATCATCCAATGTAAGTAATTTGATGACGATGGCAGTGACTGAGCACAGGACATTCTAGACGAGGTTTCGAAGACCTGAATGTCCTACATATCTGTAACATGGTTGAATATGCTTTTTGTACTTGAAAAGAACCTTACTGTCGTTGGAATTTGTTCCAGCTTTCCCATCACTCCTGAAGCTATATGTCATTACTTTACGCTTCAATTGACTTCCTTGGAATGTTAGTAGGTTTCTTCCAATGTATCACAGATGACTACACCAAGGTGACAGATAATGTGTAGAGTAAGTAAAGAGATCAGTTTTCTGCTAGCTTCGTAATCCTTTATTTTTTCGTAGACTTCACACCGTCTCTGTAGTCATATACGTCTTATTGCTATTATTTTTCAGTTACCGTCCAGATCATCTGTCCGATCCCTATAGTACAGGTTGTCTGGCATCTTTCAATTACTTTTTCTACAATCGGTGGTTGCGTCGTGTGTTATTCTTCTCTCTTCGTGTACTGAAGTAAGTGATGTGTGTTATTTTGCTTGCAATGCAGGTGGGTAAAAACAGAAGCAATTGCCTACTATTTAGACAAAAAAGAAATATGAAGTGTGATTGTGTAACTGTTTGCATTTTATGAATCAATTAATCCCGTAGGATGGATCATAAAATATCATTTTCATGATCGTTTGTATTTCCCTCCTAATTGCTTTTCATTAGGAGTGGCCTAGATGTAAGTCTCCCAGGATAAGTTGACTGACTATCCAGAAATCGTTGTCGTTTATATTTCAAGCTGTCAAACAGACTAGTGCAGCTTATATGGGGATTGTAAACAGCTAGTCTCATCAAAATATCAGGAGCCTTAACACCACTGAGTGTTTTGCACTTGTCCCTAGGACTCCGTCTACTTTAATCATCCTACACGTAGTTGTCATCAGCTGATCAGTTATTATTTCTGCTATATGACGGTTGTTACTGCGTTTTGTCTCAACTTTGCAGCTTCCGACTTCACACAAGCCGTTGGTATGTACTCCTGGAATTGTTGGCCTTTCTCTTCCACTTTCCTGAATATATAGCAATGTGCCACTGTATTTATGACGCATTAGATATAGCACAAGGTATATGTGTTGAAACTGTGTATTTCCGATTTTCAGCGGTTTGGCTTATTTGGTTAGCTACGGGATAGTTCGTAGTCCTTATTCTAAGATATCGCAGTTCTATCTTCTGTCAACTGTTGAAACACATTTTGTGAAGCATCACTGGATTTCAATAATTTTCTTTCGTCACAAAGGAAACCTGAAGTAATTGAAAAAAATTGAAAATGAAATCGTGCAATGGTCGTGATTGATGATTAGTGGTGAACTATGGTAGCAAGAGAAAAGCGATGAGGAACAATAAAGAGTATTTGTACGTATTAGGGGAAGTAAACTGTCAGACGACTTACTAGTAAACGATTTGTTTTAAAAGTAGTTAGTTGTCATTATAACCACCTTAACATCAAAGGTCTAATAATCCGGCGTATGACATTATTCTTTGACTCGTTCTAATCGAAGAAAGAACATATCTTTATATAGTAAGCACAACATGCTTTTCAAAGTCGTGGATACCGTGATCTCTACTATTCTACACGGATCTGTTGAACTACATTATTTGACCCTTACCTAAGTTTATTGTTGATTTTAAGCTCCTATTCGATTTGTTACATTCGTTCGTAATTGTAGAATATTTTTGAACTGCTGTTTCTATGCATACTAACGAGCTTAGAAGCCACTATTATTCCTCTGCATTATGCTACCTAATCACGTGAGACTAATATCCGTCGCCTTCATAATAAATAATGACAGTAATTTGTGTATCGATATTAAATTCTTCGTGATTGAGTGCAGCTGACAAGAAGCAACAAGTTGTAGAGACGTCATTTTATCCTGACAGGTGTGTTCTCGTTTTATTTAAGTTTATCAAAGGAAATAATTGCACAGAATTAAGTATTAGTTATATATGTATTCTTAGCATGATTGACTACATCGGTGCTGAATAATAATAATAATAATAATAACAGTAATAATGTTCATTGATATGATGGTAATGTCTAGCAAGTTCATGCTATAAGGTTCTTCTCTTCACAAGAAGCGTTTGTTAGTACCATAGAATTAAAATAATGTGTTGGAAATTAACCTTAAACACGGATTGTTTTGTACTTAGTATTAATCATAGTAATGATGCGTAAATAAATTTATCTGTTGAAACTTCGAGATGACTCTCATGACACAGTAACCTAGTGCGTGACGCCTCAGCGTTGAAAACGATAGATGCAAGGTTCAAGTTCCATTGGAAACACCATCACACGGCTGCAGGTACACGTACACTTAGTTGAAAAGTCTTTGATTCCATTGCTAGCTACTGTTTCTCAAAATGGCATCAAGTCTATCTTTTCATCTTTCTAAATCTTTTTCAGCGACTCACTTGTTGACGATGAAGACGAACTAGATGAATCAAATTTGTATTGAAATGGAAAAATGGCCGATATTCTGTGTACAGTTGACGAACAAACCGTAGCTTTTTAAAAGAATTTCTGCTGACTACTAACAAATTATCAATAGCTATAAACGCATATGTTTCATAATTCTACCATGAACCGTATGATTGTTTCTTTTAACACACTTAACATTCAGAAGATATATATATATATATATGTAACGCAACATCTTGACTGGTGTACATATTAATCATTCTCATCACATAATGTAGTTGATGACACATGCATTTGATGTTTTTTTCAATTTTATTTTACCTGCTATATTACATATATCAACGTATTCTTACATTTTAGGCGAACAAGTTGTGCACGACTACCCTTCAATGCACACAATCAGATTACCATTTTCTTTTTTCATTTTTAAAGCATATTTAATGGAGATGATAATGTTTCTAATAACTGTGTAGCTAATCTGCGTAACTTCATCATACCCTTTGTTTTTTCCTGAATATAACAATGAAGTTTTTTAGATTTTCATCTTTTAATCAGATTTATTCATCATTTGACAGATAAGTTAAAGGAGGTAGAAACTTGTTTTACTTTAGTTTGTTATATACACTACACAGTATTATTTATGGGGAAGCGTTTTAGATCGTGTTCGATTTCACCAAGATAATTGCCTGCCTTCAAAATGTGTTTCATTCGGTTTCAATTTTTGATATTAAATTGAACCAGTAGAGTTTTCAAGACAAGTGAAACTCCTATCGGGTCACTATTTTTTAGTGTTTGATGTTAATTTAATGAACAAAACTTCTAAATCATTCTTTCCTTTACTCAGTGATGTTAGCCCTTGTGGTTGCATACATAACTATAGTCGAGTATTCCCCGATATTGGAAATTCCAGAAAGAGTTTTTATTCTATTTTCAAACAATCTTGTTGGATTAAGGAGTTCCGTATGCTCTGATAGACCTTTCAAACAAATTAGTTTATTTTGAAACTTTAACAATTGAGAATAATTATTTACGAGTAAACGTGTCTGCTGTTCATTGAATAACACATACATGTGTACTTTCTCACTACTTAACATCTCAGTGGCTATAGCAGCATGAATGTATTATAATGACTAGTCACTTTTAAGAAATATTCTACTAAATAGCCTTGGTTCAAGGTTGTTTTACTCACTGCTTGAGTCTGATAATGCAGTGTATCCTAGCAAATATTTAAACCTCTTGTTTTAATCTCGCGAAGCTGAAATATCTGATAATTGTGGCAAATCTGGCTGCTAGTGTGGTTTGTCAAGCCAACTTGTGCAGGTGGCATCTATTAAAATATTTCCACATGATGTTTGACAATTCTTAGGTTAGAGGAAGTTGACCGATATGGCTGCAGTTGGATGTACCCTATGATTTTGGTAACCAATAGTAGGATTCTATAGATACGAATCTAGCCCGATTCATGCAACAACCCTTAACAAGTATCGCGTCAGTGACGCCGAGCATATGTCAGTACTAAGCAACATTTTGCGATTATATTGCAGCGAATGTAACACAGTTTAGGAATATAATTCCAGCGATAATATGTACCTCAGAAAAGATTTCTTTAGTGGAAGATTTCACTTCCGAAGCGTATAAAGAGTATAACTTGACATTAAGCCATCATAGCAACGGAATACGACGCCACAATGAACAGGGATGTGCAATAAAGCCACTCGACCTATCGGTACCATATATGTCTTCACTGTCATTGACCACTTTATTACTACTTCTTGAGGTTCCATGGAATTCTTAGTCCATGTTCATTGCCAAAATATTCAGTTTTTGGGTAAATTTAGTTGATCTACGAAATCGAAACTGTTAGTGAAGTTTTGTGACTACTTCTCGGTAATCTGATTTATTCGGTGACGATAAATTTGGAGTGAGAAACATATATCTTGACTGGATGACAGTTGATGAATAGTAGTGTGTATGGATATGAGTTAGAACGAAAATGTCTTTGAAACTACTTGATAACTGTTGACATTTTGCAGATACTCATCCTTGGATGTCTCTCTCCCACTCCCTTGGCAGTTTCCCTGGATCCACTGAGTGTCGGAACATTTCTCACAAGGACCTGTAGAGAGTTTCAGCACATTGTTTTAGAATGGATGGCCGAATGTCGTCACAACCTGGGCACTTTCCAGATGTGAGTTTCTGTAACTTCCCTAGTATCATTGTGGGGTCTAATTGGAGCATAGCCACTAGGTTTTCTTTTGGTGAAATAGTAATGCAGAGCTCATGACCTATTCCGGTAATAGTCACAGTGTTATTTAACTTTCTTTCAAAGGCCGAACTGGGTGTTTCAGCCATTTCCAAACTAGTGAGATGTTGACTGCTTGGACCTACTAGGGTGCATGCTCCTGGTCTGTAGGTTTTCTTTTCAAAATGAATCGGTACAGGCTTTAGGGGTTTGACGGGAATTTTGTGGTAACATCAATCTGAAGTGACCTCCTGTCACACCCAAAACTTGTGTTGCATCGGTTTCTGAGTTCCAGATATGCCCCAGGATCACTCTGACTCTCGGAGATTCGCCATGTAAACCGGGATTTCCGCTTTGCTTGCAGTAAACGCTACGTGCTTCTCTTCAGCCATAATGATAGTTTCTTAGGTTGAAGCGTGATTAGAGGGACAGTCTCTGAGGTTGATATGTGAGTGATCCCTTTTAGCAGTTCCCAATGTCCCTCTATTGATAACTGAGCCCAGTCTGTGGGCCATTCCGCGTCAGACAAAAGTCTTCGCATTTCGGAGTAGTTGACTTTGCTATAGCACAGACAAGGTTGGGTAGCATCTCACTGTAAGTGCTCACAAAGAACGAGATCAGACACTATGATCGCGTGATCACTGCTGCCTGGAGGGGTCATGATTTGGACGTTTCCGACCAGGAACTGGACACTAGTGTCCCCACCTACTGTCGTCTCCATTGTCCCCAGTCAATCTTGCATTTCTGATGGTGTGCAGCAGATTCCTACCGATGTTAATCCCTTATTCACGGCACAAATTAGATTATTGTTCCTGGTTAAACAGTGCCCTTTTTTCAAGTATATTGTTACTGAAAACTGGCATACTAAACAGGATAAGACAGTTTGGTCGACTGACCTCGGACTAAGGTTTAGCTCTTGGTTGCTTGTCTTCCTTCCTAAGATCGGTAACCTTTGACTGCTTCAGGGTGTGATCATTCTGTGTCACACTGCCATGCTTGCTAGCGGATGAAAGTAGTCCTTTTTCAATTAAGGATTACCCTGGTGCTCCTACCAGCATATCTCCAGGATTTTCGCTAGTTGAATGCTTACCTCATGTGACTTTAAGTTTCATGGCTTCCAATGAAGTATAATTATATTTGAATGCTTCACACACAATGATAAGTTTTGTTATTGGTAATATTTCGAGCGAAATTACTGCCCGTGTTCACACCACTGTTGGAATTGTTTTGTTTTTTAATTTACACACCCTTGTTCCATGTATCCGGTGTGACCTTAATGAATATAGATTCTGTTATAAGTCTCTCTTTCCATTTGTTCATATTAGTTTTCAGAATATAAACATTGTTCCAATCGATATTGTGGTTTAAACCAATAACAAAACTTATCACTACGTGTAAACCATTGAAATATAATTATACTTTATTTGATCTATTCCACAGTGCTCAAACTTTTTACTCTCATGGCTTCCACTTATTGGTTTACGTAATGCATTCCATTAAAGCTTGACAAAGTGCTATTACTTTAGATTTCCATACCTTGTAGATTAGTTTACCAGCTTCGAAACTGATTTGGGAACGACCTCCATTCTCTCTGAAGACTGTTATCTTAGTGAGAATGATCCTCAATACTTATAGTCTGAACGTACGCCTAATCGTCTTCTTAGTCTTGTGCCCATCAACCCTGAGAGTGATATGAAATCTATCTGACTTTTGGTGAATCCCACATCTCTATTTCTGTGTATCTTCGTGCCTATAGACTTTGCCTCCAGGTATTATCATTATTGTCGTGAAAAGATCCGTTATTTCTTCATGACAAGAGTATCTTCAGAGGTACATAAAATTTTAGGAGATAAAATGTTGAACTCTTTTGCTACCCATATAATGTACCAGTGTGAATTTAAGCGTATTTTTATATCACAAAAGTATATCAATTTACCGTAGTTCAAATTATTTAAAATTACTGTAAGTATTATTCTATCAATATTACAAAGTATGCATACTTTATATTGTTATTTACTTCTTTAACACAGTAAAGTCAATATTATTTATCTACTTTTACCTCAATTTTACATGCATGTGGATAGGATAGGACTTGTGCCAGTCTAATCTCTAACCGTTACGGTTACATAATTGAAAAACCAGAATTTATATACACAAAGTATACGAGAATAATAAAACTTTCACATAAGTAATACTTTTGTCCATCGTAATACTGCTTCAGTTTTGCTTGAAAATTGATTAGGATCCTTATTAGTAAGCATGTTAATTCCTATCCTATTTCCCCCATGTCATTCTTTCTCTTCCCTTCAATTTTTTACTGCAATTTGTATCTGTTAATTCTTAACCATGTTTTTATTTACTATTGAAGTTTATCTCATTTGATGTATTAATAATCTATTAGATGTATGGTAATAATTTTCTTATAATCGAACATTATTTGCTGTATATGCTAAAGCACATTGGTGTACCCTTTACTGTTGAATATTGTTTATTCGTATCCCTCCATCCTGTGTTCGGCATTCTCACGCTGTTTGAATGACACGTGGATCGCCTTTGACACAGCTCTGCTGTTTTTACTTGTTGACGCATACTGACTGTGCTTTTTGACAGGATTCAGTTACAGACACCTAAGAATTCAGGTTTGTATATTATATTGCATATTTTATGTTTAATATAGTACCGTATTCTAGACAAATCCTGTGTTTTCGGATTTTACGCGTCACTCTGCGTGTGGCTTTAAGATTTGTTTGAATAGAGTCCCGAATTT